TTATTATAACATATTGTCAATATTTATATTACATTATTGCATACAACTCAAGAGTTTAAAACTCCTATTACAACTCAAGAGTTTTCTATTTTAAATGTAGTTTTGATTCCAAATTTAATTTAATTAGTCATGCCTTTTTATTTTCCACTTCATTTAAGGGTTTTTTTTTAAGTTATGATTATTAATGTTCAATGCTTTTTTATTTTCCACTTATTTATACACACTACAACTATATTTGTACTATATAAAGAAGTTTTGATCAAAATATGTTTGAAAATATTTGTGATTTAAATATGAAAAAAGTTGAAAAAATGAGTTTTGTCACATCAATGGTTATTTCAACGCGATTTTTTTATAACAATGTTTTTATATATCAAATGTACGTTGATTTCTAAATATTCATTTTGAATGATTTATAAGTGTTTAATAAGTTTTGTTTGATGTAAATGTTATACTAAATGTTGTAATGTTTTTTATGTTGTTAAAAGTTGTAGTATTTTTCCATATATTTCTTATTTTTTCATATACAAATGAACATATGTTTTATATATAATTATACATCTTAAAACGGTATATAAAATCATCAGAAGTTTATAATATTTATTTTTTCATACTACTTTGTTATTTGATATATATAGAAATCAATATACGTTTGATATACAGTTTACACAACATAAAACGGTTTATAAAATCATCAATTAATACTATACATAGCAATGATATAAACTTATTACAGTTAATAAAACTAATAGGTTAACTATATTTTTTATTTTTGCTACTGACATTGGTTTTGCATGTATAAATACTAAAGCACAATTTGTAAAATTTTATAAAGGATGCATTTTTCCAATCACTTCATACATTTGAAACCCCGACACAAATTTCCAAACACCTCGTGCATTTGAAACCCCCCCACACATTTTCACCTTCAAAGTAATTAATAACACATCACACACTTTATATAACTAAAATTTTGAAGCTACGAATGGAACTATGGATGGTGAATTTAGAGCATGACATGAATGAACAATTGATTTTGCTCCTACGTACTTATAAATATGTTCCAAAATGAAAATTTGGCAAGAATGATGAAACAAAACCTGTTTCTGCATGGTAATTAAATACTTTTATATCATTCATTTTATATCTTCCACTCCTCTACTTTTCTCCTGCTGCATGGTAATTAAATCACTTTATATCATTCATTTCATAATTTCCACTCCTTTAATTTATACAATTTCAAATACTCTAAACGAATTATGAATATATATGGTAGGTGTGATAGGATAATATGGACTGGGGATGAACTAAAGCAGATACTATACCCTAGAAATGAATCCAAGTTGTCCGATTAACGGACGGTGAATGTGATATTTTCTACTGAAGTTAAAGTCTCCAGATAGAATATCAAAACCTTTGCATCTCAGATATGTTTCCAGAACTATATTTGTTCCGATCTTACTAAAGAATGCAAGAACAGGAGGTCTACCCACAATTATTGAAGAATCTACAACTCCAAGAATGAAAAAATATTTAAAACCTTTAAAAATGAATGAGAAACTCGAGCATAGATATTTAATGAAGGAAATTTAGAAGTTCTACAAAATGTACAATAAAAAATGCGAAACTAGATGTCTTAAATTACCAAACATTGCAGGCAATAAGTAAGTTCTCTAATCCTATTTCAAGAATTTTCAGAAAATGTGATTCAACACATGTGGGGTTTACTTAAGAAACTAAATGCATACGTCCACAAATGAGAACCCATATTTAATCAATTAATTACATTAGATACTAATATGTACATAATTTTGCATTATTTATTAGTATAAATTATTTGCAAATCAAAAAATATACATACTATTTAATCGCATACAACATTTATGTACATCCTATTCAGAATAGATTAAACCAAATCAATTATAATGTTATAATTTTGTTAATTGCATTATTTTAGCATCTTATTTGTTTTAAAATCATAACTTCTCAATTAACCATATGCTTAAAAACAATGTTAACTATTTATTTTATCATAATATATATAACCATATTAAACTGCATAATTATTCCACTGCGTAACGCGCAAACATCGCCTAGTTAGATATAAGACGTGTTTGTCAAAATTAGTCGATAGCTGAAAGCCCTAACTTTTATCTGTGTGAAAATGTTCGGAAAAAATAGTTTTAAGCTTTTGACTGGTATAAAATAACACAAAGACAAAATATATAAATTAGAAGTTAAAAGTAAACTAGTCGAATTAATTTTTAAATTCAAAGCTTTTTATTTAAATAAAAGCTTTTAGAAACTTAAAAAAATTCGTTGCTGAACACCTAATATCTTAGAAGTCGAAGTGTTTTAATGGAGTGGAGAGGATATATATATATATATATATATATATATATATATATATATATATATATATATATATATATATATATATATATATATAGGTTCATGCGAAAACATAAATATCTTGCGAAAACGCGAAAACAAATTTTATCTTATAAAAATCAAACACATGTATTATAAAAAAATAAATTTATTAGCAATAAATTAAAGATAGTAAGTTTACATTGGATGATGTTATGATAATAAAGATTTAAAGACGGTTTTAATAATTTTTTTTTCACGTCCTTAATCATTTTTAAATTAATGTTTTCATAATAAAAATATTAAAAATCATACTTTGCTAATATGAAACAATTTTCTCATCTATCATCGATTATCATCATGTATTTCAAAGTTTGGATAAACTATTTTCCAAAATATAATGTCGAGGTGACACAATATCATAGGTTTTGCTTGTTTTCGCAAATTATTTTCATTTTCGCATGAACCCTCCCTATATATATATATATATATATATATATATATATATATATATATATATATATATATATATATATATATATATATATATAGACTCTAATAAATAAAGATTTTTTTTTTGTCACATGTAATATTCTAATTCATTTTGCCACATGCCATTTTGTGGTTATTTTAAATTAATTTTTTTTACACATGTCATTTTATGTTTTTTTCCATTTTATTAAATACACATACTATTAAACGTAAAGATGAAAATAAATATAATAATAAATGAATATCAATTTCATTAATGGACTTACCTTCTAATTTTAAATTTCTAAATTAAAACCTCAGTAATTTTCTTTGTTTATTTATCTAAATTATTTGTTTAAATTTAAAAGAGAATAAAACACTTTAATTTTAATAATTCATTATTTTTCTTATAAACTAAAAAAATGGACCTTCATATGTAATGTTTTTAAGGGTTTAGGTCATTTTTGGTAACTTCATTTTTGGTTTTGTGCTCATTTGGTCACTTAACTATTTTTAAGTTTTAAAAGGTCATCAAACTTTTGACTCTGTGCTCATTTAGTGACTTAACTTTTGGTTTGGTCACTTAACTTTTAGATTTGTGCTCATTTAGTCACCTTACTTTTAAAATTATGCTAATTTAGTCACTAAAATTTCAAATTTTTTTAAAAGTTTAGTGACTAAATGAACACAATTTTAATGTGAACAAACCAAAAGTTAAGTGACTAAATGAGCACAAAGCCAAAAGTTTGATGACCTTTTAAAACTTAAAAAGAGTTAAGTGACCAAATGAGCACAAAACCAAAAGTTAAGTGACCAAAAATGACCTAAACTTTCTTTTTTTTAAAATAAACTCATGTAATATATGAGTTTCACAGTGTGTGTGTGTGTATATATATATATATATATATATATATAAGGCTAAATTAATGTGTTTCTTACATTTATTGTGTGTTAAAACGCATCAGTAGAAATTTAGTATATTTAAATAATTATTTAATTAAATAAAGAGAGATATTAAATGATTTCCATAATTGTATGTATATTAAATTATATCCATAATATAATTCTCCTTTTATGGAAACTAATTAAATTCATCATTAATGTTATCAAAAACATTCATTTAGAATGAATTCGCATCTAGGTTTTTTTGTATAGATTTATCTTTTGTTTCAGGACACTCACTTAAAATACAATAAAGTTGCATGAAATATGAATAACGAAAGTGTATTGTACTAGATTACACTCTCATTCTGCTAGAATACAATGTCATTTTTCTAAATTCGAATTCATTCTAAAAAAAATATTATTGCTGATATTAATGACGGATTTAATTAGTTTCCATAAAAAAAAGAATTATAATTAATGTACATATAATTATGGAAATAATTTAATATCTATCTTTATTTGATTAAATAATAATTTAATTTTTACAAAATTCTTATTGGTGCATTCTAACACACAATAGATGTGAGAAATATTTGAACTTGCCTTTCTCTCTCTCTCTCTCTATATATATATATATATATATATATATATATATATATATATATATATATATATATATATATACTCTAATAAATAAAGATATTTTTTGTCATATGTCATTTTATGGTTATTTTAAATTAATTTTTTTACACATGTCATTTTATGGTTTTTTCCATTTTATTAAATACACATACTATTAAATGTAATAATTAAAATAAATATAATAATAAATGAATATCAGTGTTATTAATGGATTTACCTTTTAATTTTAAATTTCTAAATTAAACCTCATTAATTTTCTTTGTTTATTTATCTAAATTATTTGTTTAAATTTAAAAGAGAATAAAATACTTTAATTATAATAGTTTATTATTTTTTTCATTTTTCTTATAAACTTAAAAAAAAATTAGATATTCATACTTACTTTTAAAAAAAATAAAACTATGTAATAAATGACTTTCATAACTAGCCTATTCAATGTATAAATGTAAGAATTAAAAGGCTGTGAAACATAAAATGTATAAATAGTTAAAAACAATAAAACCCGAATAATATTTGATTTATCTAATAAAGATTTAGCATTACAAATATGAAATTCCGTTCTTGTCCTTTGGGTTGATACCTTTTGTAAACCAGGGTTAAACTCCCCCTCCTTTTATATAACCCAACTTCACATTCACTCTACACTCAAAAACACCCACACACACACTCCCGTTTGACCAAAACTCCAGTCTCGTGGACCTCACACCATTCCTCACTGAAACACCGAGCACCGCCACTGCTGATTCCTAGATCTCACTCTCTTTTTCAAGCTCTTCTTTCATGGCGATTGAGTCGTTTTCGACATTTCTCTCGATTAATTTGTAAAAAAAAGTTTGACAGAAAGCTTTCCGGTATACAAACGGAGTTTTGTTAAATGGCGGAGACGACGGAGGCGTCCAAGGCAATGCCGGCGCAAGCAGAGAAGAGAAAGGAGCAGAGTATTCCGTTCTACCAACTGTTTTCATTCGCGGACAAGTTCGATTACGCTCTCATGATTTTAGGTAGCATCGGTGCCATTATTCACGGATCCTCCATGCCTTTCTTCTTCCTCTTGTTCGGACAAATGATTAATGGCTTCGGAAAAAACCAATCGGATTTGAACACCATGACTCACGAAGTTTCAAAGGTTATTCATCATCATCATCAACCTCATCATCATCATTATTATTATTATTATTATTATTATTATTATTATTATTATCTCTCCAGATTAAACGAGCTTCTTTTTTCTCAAATTTGTGAGGATTTTCCACAAAAAAAAAAAAAAAAAAAAAAGCTATCTAATGACTAGTCTGAGTCAGTGGATTAAATATTTATTGTTTTTCAAATTTCGGTGCGATTAATCACAGGTTCAGATCTGAATATCTATTTACTCTAATTTAATGCAGTATGCTCTGTATTTCGTCTATCTCGGATTGGTAGTGTGCATATCGTCATACGCAGGTGAGAAGCTAAACTCGATCCGTTGTTGTCTCTCTTTTATTTTATATATATTTATATTTATATTAATTAATAAACATCGGTTTCCATAAAATTTTGATTTCACACTTCATTATTGAAAAATGCTTATTTTAGCCAGTTCACAAAGGATCATGTGCACGTGGGTTCCTCGTTATCCCTTGTCCTTTTCGTCACGCACTTGGTCAAAATTTTCAATAATTTTCTAATACATCACAAACATCTCCATCACTTTCGAATTCTAGCTTTTGTTTATGAAAATGAAATCGATCATGATTAATCAATATATAATTAGTTAATTAATTATGTTTAAAATTGAGTAAGAACAGAAATCGGATGTTGGATGTACACCGGAGAAAGGCAAGTGAGCACGTTGAGGAAGAGATATTTGGAAGCAGTTTTGAAACAAGACGTTGGATTTTACGATACAGATGCAAGAACAGGAGATATCGTTTTTAGTGTCTCCACTGATACTCTACTTGTCCAAGACGCCATTAGCGAGAAGGTAAATCTCCCTTTTCAACATTTCCTTTTGGACACATCTACTGGTTTTAATTCCGGAGATGTTGATGGATAATTTGTTACGAGAAACCTGAAACAGAAACATAAACAGAATCCATTAATGGCGGGGATGTGGGGTCCAATAAACGACGTCATACATATCTCAATATTTCATTCGCGCATATTAGCATACTTTGAATCATCATCTCGATAAAGAAACCTAACTGTTCCCCTTTCATTAGGTGGGGAACTTTATCCATTATCTCTCGACATTTTTGGCTGGATTGGTTGTTGGTTTCGTTTCCGCATGGAAGCTAGCTCTTCTAAGTGTCGCAGTCATCCCCGGAATCGCATTTGCAGGTGGATTATACGCTTATACTCTTACAGGTCTCACTTCCAAAAGCCGTGAATCCTATGCCAATGCTGGCATCATCGCTGAACAGGTAATCTACTAATCTTAAATCTTAAATCTTAATAAATTAATCACTTACTTTATATGATCATATATTAATCGACTATTGTTATTAATTAACAGGCAATTGCACAAGTAAGAACAGTGTATTCCTATGTGGGAGAAACCAAAGCACTCGATTCATATTCAGATGCAATACAACACACCCTGAAACTGGGATACAAAGCAGGAATGGCGAAGGGATTGGGATTGGGATGCACATATGGAATCGCATGCATGTCATGGGCACTTGTGTTTTGGTATGCGGGTGTATTTATTAGGAATGGGCAGACAGACGGTGGAAAAGCATTTACAGCAATCTTCTCCGCCATTGTTGGTGGAATGTAAGCTTTACTTTTTTTTTTTTTTTTTTTTTTTTTTAAATATTATAATATTCTTTCTTCACAAAATTTTAATCAAAATAATCATAACAGGAGTTTGGGTCAGTCGTTTTCGAATCTTGGAGCATTCAGCAAAGGGAAAGCTGCTGGATATAAATTACTGGAAATCATTAAGCAAAAACCGACTATAGTTCAAGATTCTACTGATGGGAAATGTTTGACCGAGGTCAACGGGAATATTGAATTTAAGGAGGTGTCTTTTAGTTACCCTTCAAGGCCGGATGTTCTTATCTTTAAAGAGTTTTCCATTTTCTTCCCGGCTGGAAAGACAGTTGCGGTGGTTGGTGGTAGTGGGTCCGGTAAAAGCACAGTTGTTTCTCTAATCGAGAGGTTTTATGACCCTAATCAAGGTATATATCTTTAATCTTACTACCTGTTTCTTGTTTCTTTTTCACGTAATATTTAATAGAGCTCCTCTCCTTTTTACCTCCCTACCCTTTTACCATCTGTTATTTGGCATCACTTGTAAACAAAATGATAAATTGGTCATTTACTTCCAAAAGTAAAGAAAAAACTTTGTTTACAAATGGGTAAAATGGTCATTTACCTATATTCAGATTGTTCATTCTCAAAAAGAAATCTAATACACAAGGGTAAAAATAGCCATTTACTCGCATTGAGATGATTCATCAAAGTCCAAACAAGAAACATTTTTTGTGTATACAAGGGTAAAATGGTCATTTACTCACATTTAGAAGTTCATTTTGGCCAACAAAAGAAACAGATTTTGTGTTACAAAAGAGTAAAATTAGCATTTACTTTTAACTCACATTCAGTGATTCAGATGATTTTTTACGTTCCACAAAAGAAACATATTTCCATAAGATATGAGTAAAATGGTCATTTATCGACACTCATATGATTCCTTTAAAGACAGTCCAAAAAGGAAACAAACACTGTGTACAAAAGGGTAAATTGGTCAAATACTCATGATATCATTTCCCGCCCTGTGCAGGTCAAATCTTGCTAGATGAAGTGGACATCAAAACCCTCCAACTAAAATGGCTTCGCGACCAAATCGGTCTAGTCAACCAAGAACCGGCACTCTTCGCCACCACAATCCTCGAAAACATCCTCTACGGAAAACCCAACGCCACCACATCCGAAGTGGAAGCCGCCACGTCAGCCGCCAACGCGCATTCCTTCATCACCCTCCTCCCAAACAGCTACAACACCCAAGTCGGCGAACGCGGAATCCAACTTTCCGGTGGTCAAAAACAACGCATCGCAATCGCAAGAGCCATGTTAAAAAACCCTAAAATCCTCCTCTTAGACGAGGCCACATCCGCCCTCGATTCCGCCTCCGAAAACATCGTCCAAGAAGCTCTCGACCGCTTAATGGTCGGAAGAACCACCGTAGTAATCGCACACCGCCTTTCCACCATTAGAAACGTCGATTCCATCGCAGTAATCCAACAAGGACAAATCATCGAAACCGGGACCCACGAGGAACTTATTTCCCGCCCAGGGGCGTATTCGTCATTAATCCGGTTCCAAGAAATGATCGGGAACCGCGATTTTTCAAACCCGTCGACTACTCACCGGACGCGTTCATCGCGATTGAGCAATTCGTTGTCTACAAAATCTTTAAGTCTTCGATCCGGAAGCTTGAGGAATTTGAGTTATCAGTATAGTACGGGTGCGGATGGGCGGATTGAAATGATATCGAATGCGGAAACGGATCGGAAAAACGGAGCTCCGAGTGGGTATTTTTTTAGGCTTTTGAAAATGAATGCACCCGAGTGGCCCTATTCGATTATGGGTGCGGTTGGGTCGATTTTATCCGGGTTTATTGGTCCGACTTTTGCGATTGTTATGAGTAATATGATTGAGGTTTTTTACTTTGATAACCCTGCGAGAATGGAGAGAAAGACAAAAGAGTATGTTTTTATATATGTTGGAGCTGGTTTATACGCGGTTGTTGCGTATTTAATCCAACATTATTTCTTTAGTATCATGGGTGAGAATCTCACTACAAGAGTTCGGAGAATGATGCTTTCAGGTATACATTGATACATGTATTTTATTTTTACATTATTTTTACGCTATTACAATTTTTTTTTTTTTTTTTGTTTATAGCGATAATGAGAAATGAAGTTGGGTGGTTCGATGAGGAGGAGCATAACTCGAGTCTAGTGGCAGCGAGGTTAGCAACAGATGCAGCAGACGTGAAATCCGCGATAGCTGAGAGGATCTCTGTTATATTACAGAACATGACGTCACTTCTGACGTCATTTGTAGTCGCTTTCATTGTCGAATGGAGGGTTTCACTTCTGATTCTCGCTACTTTTCCTCTTCTTGTTCTCGCTCATTTTGCACAGGTAATAATACATTATCCACAGATCCACTGCCTCTATTACTGTTTCATATGACAAAATATTAATAAAAGTACGAACTGAAACCACGCATGCTGCCTCCACATAAAGTTGACCATAGTCAAAATTGAAATTGCATCGGTTTTATTGATAATCTCGAATCTTGATTTTGGGTGATATTATCTTGATATTAAACGACAAGAATGTAGATTCAGTTTCAAAGTGGCTTGCATGTGCTTTCCTTAATTCCGGTTCATACTTTCACAAAACTCTTGCTCCAATAAAGGATCTATATTCTATACCACTTTTGCATTTGGAAAGTTCAAAAAAACTCTCTTTTAATAACAAAATGTATTTTAATATTTACATAAACAGTTCATTACAAATTTGGCTGATATGATATATTTAAATTGATAGGTTTAGTCCAAATTGTCTTTATGGTTTCAATTTATTTCAATTACTAGTTGTGATACCCGTATATTATACCCGTATATTATACGGGTTGATTAAAATAAAATGTTAAATACACATGATTAAATGAAAAGTTTATTTGAATTTGAAATTTGAAATAAGTAAAATTATGGAAAAAAAACATGAAAAAATTAAATTAAAATTATGTGTTTAGTTGTCAGACCAGTGTATTAAATTTGTTAATTATAACAAAATGTTAAATACGAATGTTTCAGTTGTAAATTTATTTAAAATTAAAATTGAAGTTTTAAATTCGAAATTTAAAATTTGAAACAAATATAGTTATTATGGTATGTTTAATTTATAGAAACTAAATAAATATCTCAAAATTATGACAAAATGACATGTGGCATAATTCATGAGAGAATGACATGTGACAAGATTATTTTCATTTATTAGATAGGATTTAATTTATAGAAACTAAATTAATGATATATTCAAAAATGAAAAATAAATTGGCAAAATTATTTTCATTTATTAGGTAAGATTCTGGTCTCTGGGTCTCGCTAAATCTAACTAGCTCTTAGTTTTAGTAAATGACTATTTTGTCCTTGGACTAACCCAAAAAACATATATATCAGTAGGACCAATATTAAAGAGAATCATAATGATATAATTAATAGCAAGTTAAATGTTATAATAAATTAATATTTATAACTTTTAAAGAAAACATTAAATGGTCGTTAAGTATACAAACACGTACGAAATTTGTGATCTTGAAACTGATAGAAATAAGGTTGGTGAAAGTTTTTGGTAAATTTTTACAGTGAGGTAAAATAAAAAAGAGAAGAAAAATAAAAGAGGACATGTGAATGCAGAATGCTACTACATTTACTGTGATGTCCATACAGAATGGCAGGGGAGATTCCTAGCCCGTGATCGTTGCACTTTCTTCTATAAAAACCATTACTTATTATTATACTTTAAAAAAAAAAATTATTATTCAACTTTCGCTCTTCTATTTATAATTTCTATTGAAGCCTGAATTGTCAGAAGCATTTATGCATTTGGAAAATGGACTGTGTTGTTGGGCCCCAAAACCTTCATACACCAGTACACCACGCTCTGTTATTGATCATATTCTTCCTTCACAAATCTAGTCAAATTGATTGCGATTGTGGGCACTGTAGTACTCATACATCAACAGGGTTAGCCTTGTTTTTTTAATCGTATGAAATAGTACCGGTTATTTGCTAAAAATATAATAGTTATAAATTTTCTTATTAATATATAGCAACTTAAATGAACAATTTTGCAAGATAAAAAATCTATGATTTTCGAATAATATGTGTAGTATTAATTTCGCAGCATAACCAACAAAACGACTTCATTTATTTTTGTTTTTTAATATTTTGTGTGGGGTATACAAAACAGCAAATTGTGAATGTTGCAGCAAGCAAAAAAGTGATGGTTATTTGTATAAAAAGTGAAAAAAAAGTCTATTTTTTGGCAAATTATATGCGTAGTGGCTATTTTATTATTTAAACTGTTATGTTCATGCATATGAATTTAAAACAGTCGTTTTTTAATAGATAAAATTTTGGCTACTATGTGCTTATAAATAACTTCTTATATTTGCCTTGTATATTGAGCAACTACCACCTTACTAGATGTATGTGTCCTTTTGTCCCATACCATTTACTTCTTAAACACTTCAGGGTCCCAGACGTGACTTACTTTTAACTTGTCAACTTTACTTCAAACCAGGGTAGTTTTGTCATTTTCGTTTTCCACAATCTTCAAAAACAAGACTTGTTTAAAAGTTTTTTATTGATGCTTATTTAATTATGTGATTATATTTTAGCTGTAATATTTGTTATTTGTCATATCATATTATAAATCACAATAGCGTTCTTATATAAAACATACAATTGACATATATATTCCAATACATAAATGTGTAATAGCTGTCGACATTTATGTAAATATTTTTATTTAATTAAATAGTTGTAAAAATACGATAAATAATCATAAATGAATCAATTATCTTGACTACACTTTTATAATACCATAATTTATGAAATTACTGTAATAAACTAGATGTCAGTCGAATTGGTAAAAAAACTACTAAATATAAGGGAATTATTTAAATTTATATAATTTACGAAAAAATATATACTTGAAAGTTAGAATGTTGTTTTTGATGTTAAAATTATGTTGATAGGTTGGAAATGAAACTTCCTTCACACAAAACTGCTACATAATTTTGGTGAAAAAAAAATGATATAATATTGTCGCTAATTCCTGTCTTATTTTTCAATTTACAGCAACTTTCTCTCAAAGGCTTCGCCGGAGACACAGCAAAAGCCCACGCAAAAACAAGCATGATCGCCGGAGAAGGAGTAAGCAACATCAGAACAGTAGCAGCCTTCAACGCCCAAGACAAAATCCTCTCCCTATTCTCCGACGAACTCCGTCTCCCCCAAACACAAAGTCTTCGCCGGAGTCAACTTTCCGGCATCCTATTCGGCATCTCACAACTCTCTCTCTTCGCATCGGAAGCCCTAATCCTCTGGTACGGCGCCCACCTCGTTACCAAAGGCCTCTCCACCTTCTCAAAAGTCATCAAAGTCTTCATCGTGTTGGTAATAACTGCAAACTCAGTAGCTGAGACTGTCAGCCTCGCCCCGGAAATCATTCGGGGCGGTGAAGCCATCGGTTCGGTTTTCTCGATCCTCGATCGACAAACTCGAATCGACCCGGACGATCCCGACTCCGACGTGGTCGACACTGTCCGAGGAGAAATCGAGCTTCGTCATGTCGATTTCTCATACCCGTCGAGACCTGATGTTCCCGTTTTCAAAGACTTCAGTCTGAGAATCCGGTCCGGTCAGAGCCAGGCTCTGGTCGGACCGAGCGGGTCAGGAAAAAGCTCGGTAATCGCGTTGATCGAGCGTTTCTACGACCCGACCGCTGGAAAAGTTATGATCGATGGAAAAGATATCCGGCGGTTAAACCTAAAATCTCTTCGGTTAAAAATCGGTCTAGTCCAACAAGAACCCGCGTTATTCGCCGCCACGATAATGGAAAACATCGCGTACGGGAAAGCCGGAGCCACCGAGGCGGAGGTTATTCAGGCGGCAACCGCCGCTAACGTCCATACATTCGTTTCCGGGTTGCCGGAAGGTTACAATACTCCGGTTGGCGAACGCGGTGTTCAACTCTCTGGAGGTCAAAAACAAAGAATCGCGATCGCTCGAGCCGTTTTAAAAAATCCAGCAATTCTGTTACTAGACGAAGCGACCAGCGCACTGGACGCTGAGTCAGAGTGCGTCCTTCAGGACGCACTCGAGCGACTCATGAGAGGTAGGACGACTGTCCTGATTGCACACCGTCTGTCGACCATCAGAGGGGTCGACAGTATCGGTGTGGTTCAAGATGGGAGGATTGTTGAACAAGGTAGCCATGGGGAACTTATTAGCCGACCCGAAGGGGCTTACTCTAGGCTCTTGCAACTACAACAACATCCTATGTGATTGTGATGTAACTTTTAAGAGTTAAGGGGTGGTTTTACGTAGAAGGAAAATAGTAAATTGTGCATTTTTTTTGGGGTTTCCAGTCGTTATGTTTGGTCGATTGGTTACATATTAACTACCCTACCCCCAACACTTTGTAATTGAATGCTTGTTGTGTTTATTAAGTTTTTATAATCCTTTATAATGGATGGTATTATATTTTTGGTATGAACTATTAAAAATTAAGGACATGTTTGCTTTATAGATTGTTATTATCAAACCCCAGAGGATTGGAATTCGGTACCTGGGTTCGTGGAGTGCTTGAATTCAATTCCTTTCTTGTTCTATTTATTAAAAGACCAGAATATACAATATGACTTTTATCATTGAGTTTCATCCCCAAACTAACGTTATAAATCATGATTTCTTCATATTCAATTTCTTTATAACTTTCTTTCATTTTAAAAGAAAAACATTTTATGACCTAGATACCTTTTAAAAGTTTAAAAATAAAACAAAATAACTGAATATTATTTCCTTAGGTAAATGATGTGATTTGTAGAAAATTCGTATGAATTTTGGGTAACCTCGTATGTAGGTAACAAACAACTTAACTTTTTTTACAAAATATAATTGATTAAAAAAACTACAATAGAGGGATAACGAACTATTTGTCTTCGTTTATAAAGTACTCTTAAAACCATTCAAATAATGATATTTACAATGTTCCAGTTGATTGTCTACCTTCTGATGCCTTTTTTTTTAAATTGATAGTGTTTTGTGAAAAAATTAGATAATTGCCAATTTATGACATTAAGTTTATGAATTTATTACATAACAAAATCAAATAAAAATCAATAATTATAAAGACAGATTATTGAATCTGGAGTCCTAGTAAAGTATCTATGGGTCTAACATTTGGGTCTTAACGACGTTTGTGATAATATCTGGTTTAAAAGTTATACTCGTTTAAAGTTGAATTTTGTTATCACATATATGTTTCATTTCACTTGTTCATGTATCTTAGTTTGAGCACATTTATAATGTATAAGATTGGATAACATGTTAGTGGGTATAAACATAATGCCTGTTAAAAGTTTATAGACAGCAAAAAGGAGGTAATTGATTGATCATATCCCATCTTTTTCGAACCCCATGTGGTTTGCAAGTGTTCTTTCTCTTTTTCCACAATTGCTTCTTTTTTTTTCAAAAGAATATGAGTCTTTTGACTATCTAAATTTCAGCACACAAAAGTTTGCTTTTTAAGACTAAAGCCCCACACAAGAAATGGGGTTGTTGATTAGACCAAAGAGAAAGGGTTGTTAAAAGATCTTATTTTCAATGATTTTTTAGACATCTCATGGATAGTTATCCATGTCTTCAATTATTTGATTGTTTGGGTAAACCCTTAAAATGCAAAGAACCCAAACAAGTCTGCCTTTAATTTTAATTTGGTCATTGAAGTTTAAAAAACTATAAAAAGGATTAAAACTTTGTTAAGATATTTCATTCAAGATAATATGAAAAAAAAATAGAGAATTTCGTTTACATCTTTTTAGGCATCAAAATAGTATATTTACCAAACTTAGTTTTTTAATATCATATTTACCCATTATAAACTTTCAAAATATCATATTTACCAATTTTTCTTTTTTACAATATTTCTAATAGTTCATAATCATTTTTTATCTCTTAGAATTATTATAATACTTAAAAACAGTGATCATGTTGTCCGTGCGACTATAATGATTGAACATCTATTTCTAAATTGTTAGAATATCACACAAACACAACACTTCATCTTCAACATTTTCTATGAAATGTATGTATTGATTGTTCAGCTTTTATTGTTGTTGATTATTACCATATTGTAGATAAATGATACTTTGGATATTACCATTGATATTTTTTGACATTTTTATTATGAAAACTTGAATTTAAAAGTGGTTAAAGACGTGAAAAAAAAACGCTTGTTAAAACCACCTTTAAATCTATATGATCATAACACCCTCAAATATAAACTTACTAGGTGTGACACCCGTTTATTACACGGGTTGATTAAAAAAGTTAAATATAAGGTGTAGATATTAAGTATTTTCTAAAGTAAAATTTTGAAATAAATATAAATGAAATGATGAATAACTAATTCAATCTATACTAATAAAAAGTTATTATCATGTTTTAAATAATCATGCTGAATATGAATGTGTAAAAATTAAGTATTTTTTAAAATAAACAACAAGGACCATTTATGTAATTTGTCTTAATTAATCTATACTAATAAAACTAATTAATATAAATTCATAAATGGAATTTATTAATATATTAATAGAAATAACAATTCACAAATGAAAGGTTTACTATATACATTAATTCACATTAATTAGTATGAGGTGACATTTAATAGGTGGAAATTGAATAAAAATGAAAAAAAAGTACAACAATGACAAGTGGAAAAAAAATAATTTTAAAATTCTAAGAAAATGACATGTGTCAAATTCAATAAGAAGTTGACATTTGACAAAATTATCTTTATTTATTAGGGTAGATTATCTTTAATTTATTGATAATAGTTTTAATTTCTAAAATACATGTGTTTGATTTTTATAAGATAAAATCTGTTTGTGCATTTTCGCAAAATATTTATGTTTTCGCATTAAACTACTTGTGTGTGTGTGTGTGTATATATATATATATATATATATATATATATATATATATATATATATATATATATTAATGTTTAAAAAAACATATATGATATTTTGATAGTTTATAAAAAATAAATATGATATTTAGATTTTAAGTTTAGCAAATATAATATATTTATGTTAAATATAATATATTAATGTTTAAAAAGGATATATATGAAATTGTTCAAAATAAAAGTTTTTAATTTATTTTTTTCATGATTATAAAGACAACCGGTTTTATATAAAGGGAAAATGTTATGCAAGCCCTTATATTTTGGTAATTATTTAGAAAGACGAATGTCATTATCCGAAAAAGATTTTCATACAGCAATTTGAGATTTTTGTTGGTCTTTATCAATATAATTTTGAAAAGTCATTATCGAACCATGTTATGCAAGTCCTTATATTTTGCTAATGTTAAAAGGATACTACAAATAATACCCTTGATTTCTTTAATATACCCCATTCATCATTATTTTTTTTGGTGTAATTATTGGTAACAAATTTTAAGGTTATATACTATCTCTAATCTATATTAAAACAAAAACTTTATGACATCATCTTAAACAATTTGGACTTTTATTGTATTTCATTCCTATTTTTTCCATCTTTAGATATTTTGGTGACACCACCATTCACTGCATTTAATTCCAACAATCTTTAATATCTTCCAATCAATTATCTTTAATATCCGTTTAATAAGGAATTTAATTTGATAAAGGAAGTAAATGTTAATTCAAACGAGATATGTATTCCATAATTAAAAGATCAAATTCATATATTAAATAGATAAATTAAAATCCCTTAACAAATCGGTAGATAAATTTACATTTAAATAATTTCCATATTTATCTTCTGAAATTAGGCCAATAATTACCTATTTTTTGATAACTTGATAAAAATTACAACTTTGTATAATCGTCAGCAAATCGTTTCTTGAATATCATCTTTTTGCGATTTATCATTTTTTATATATCCCCTTTCCAACTATGTTTTTTTTCAATTCCATCATTTGAGACTCATTACAGTTGGGATACCTATCAACAAAAGTTTAATAGCTCAAGTAAGTCCATGAAATTATTGAATATTCATTATGAATCATATTTTCTGTTTGAATTCAATGTATCATTATCACAAACTTTATTTGTTTTTGGATAATCATTAAACTTTATTTGTTTTCTCCCTCGCAATTTCTATATATTACAATAATAGTCCTTACACTATTAGCCAATCTCATTATATTTTCATATTCTCAATACTTACCCATAAAAGTCCTTCAAATGAGAACCATACTGCAAAAAAGTAGTTCTTTTTACAATAATAGTCATTGCTCTATTAGCCGATTACCATATTCTGTCATTGTAGATTTTATTAACTAAGGTAGTCCTTCAAATGACAATTATTCTGCATTTTGGGCTTTTACACACAAGTTGTACCTAATTAAGAAATATACTATCTAATGAATGGTATGATATTTTGGGGAATTGTTATTCTAACAAAATATAACGTCTAACGAATGACAAGTGTCATGTATATCAAACTAGGTGAAAATGACGAGTATAACTCTAACAAAAAAATCAAACTAGGTGAAAATGACCGGTATAACTCTAACAAAAAATTGTTTTACAGTTAAAATATAAAATGAAAATAACAGTGTTCAATTGCTAAAGAAACTCCACAAAAAAATCTAAAAACGGAAAAGTGGGCTTACAATGCGACTTTATGTGGTGTAGAATATTCATTTTACAAAAGATTTGGTAGAGAACGATATATGTATTTGAATGCTGGATAACCCTACTTGACATTTCTATAATTAGAGTGCCTATTGAAAACTTTTAACAATTTTCCATAATCTTTATGTTAAACCAATTCATATTCTTTTCTCTATACTCCCCCAATTATTAGCTTGCACACAAAAAAAGAGTCAAGAGGGCTTGGTTGAGTCACATGTGTTTAACAATCATTATTTTTTTCACAAGCAGATACATGACTCAAAGCGCAATTGCAAATTGTAGCAACGCTTCGTCCTCCATCCTCTACTCTCAAAATGACGATTTCCTTCATAAGTTTGATTTTCATGCTATTGATGATCTCCAACAAGTAGATGAGGTTTATATACTTACATTTCATTTATGAAATTTATATTATGTCAAATAGTTTTTGGATTATTTTTGCCCTCATATTTCATTTTACTTTTTCTATTATATAATTTAAACTTACATCAATATTTTTCAGGAAAAACATTGATTGTTGTCGGTATGAATAAGCATGTGTGATCTCTTGTTCCAATCTTCAAACCTCTGTTTTAAAAATAATATGATTTTAATGTTATTTATGACATGTTTGTTTTTTTTTTTCAGATATGTTGTTCCATATAATAAGATACTTTTGAAGCAATACCAAGTGCATATGAATCTTGAGTGGTGTAATCAGGTTGGATCGATAATGTACCTTTTTAAGTATATTAACAAAGGACCAGACAGGATCACAACTTCTTTTTATAACGCCCAAAAAAATAA